CACATTCCTGCTTGCGCTGCTTGGAGATGCACTTGTACGCCCAAATGAATGTCCCCTGCCTCGCTTCGTCCTGCTTCCCCTCCCCTCTCCGGCGGTCCCGGTCCCAGGGCCCCAGCCCCCCAGTCACTTGAATTAACGACCCTGTTTCGGAACGCACACGCCCAGTTAAAAGCGGCCAGGCCCCATATACGGAGCCGGAGGGGAGGGGAGAGAGAAAGAGAGTCGTGCCGCTCGGGGCCTGGGAAAGACAAATTGATTGATTTCTCAATTCGCCCGCAGCCTTTTCGGCTTATAACTACTACTGGTGTTTCATCCATCGCCCGCCTGTCAGCGTGAACCTCCCGTCAGCCAGCTTGCACGACCGGCTGGTGGTGGCGAAGTGCATCGTCGTGCCTCGCCCGCCGTCCCCTCGCTGCTCGTCTGCCACTGTTTTAATCATCATCATCACCGCCACCGCGCTATTTAACAACGTGCCCCAAGGACATGGTGTAGATTCGCCAGACAATTAACGTTTTTAGCTGTTTCTTTTATTTCAGCGAGAAGAAATCTCTTCGCCGCATCAGAAATAAAATGAAAAGAGCGAAAAAATAAAAATAGTTAATTGCAGCTGGCTCTCGCTCGCTTGCTACTTATCGTCGCGTTGCGTTGCCTTAGCAAATAAGTAAAAAAGAGATACATGGAGAATTCAATGACCACACACAAACGCGCGCATGACACCAGAAACTATTAAACATTCCCGCGCCTTCCACCGCCTGTTTAAAACCATCGTCTGCCGTAATGTATGAGACGGGGACAAAGGGTCGTAACACCAACACAACCACGCCTGGTGCCCACTCCCCTTCCGTCCGGCCCCGCGCTAGTCCAAAGCTTAACACTCTGCCGCATAAATTTTTACTCTGTTTCCATTCATATTCTGATCGTTACAGGAAAAGAGAAAAACCGGGCGGGCGGGGCCCGGGCGCGGCGGTAGGACGTGTGGGCCCCCGTGCCCCATTGATCCTGAGGGGCCCGACGTGTGAATACGGCGAGGAGGGGGAGGGGGGAAGGGACGGGGGGTTAGGAAGGGTCAATAAGCGACGCGTCCTGGTGGGCCCAACCACAATGAAATGCCGTCCCGGGAGAGATCAATACTGATTATGTCTCCATCTCTTCGAGGCGATGAAGAAGCGAGCGGCGACCACGAAAGAGAGTGCGAAGGGGAAAGGGAGAGGAGGCGGCGGCGGAGGAGGAGGGAGCAGACGAGAAAATTGATACGATCACGCCGAGGCCGGATTGCAGGAAAAGAAACGGCGAATGAGGAGGGGAGCCGCGCCGCGGCCGGCCGCCCATGCATCTTTGAAGCAGTGCGCGCGCGCGTTGTTTCGCCCACCGAGGCCGAGAGAGAGAGAGAGAGAGAGAGAGAGAGAGAGAGAGAGAGGAGGAGAGGCAGGGAGGGGAGAGGCCCGAGAGGGAGAGAGACGGTCTGACGAGTAGCCTTGTACGGCTCCACCTGAATAATACATCACACGCAGCACGTAGGTCCGACGGTGTGCTCGCTGCAGTAAACCCGCCGCGCCAGCGGGGAGAGAGACGGGCCAGAGAGAGAAAGAAGAGAGGGAACGAGGAGAGGGGGGGGGGAGACATGCCAGCTCTACAACAGGCTCGCTGCGTCGAACGCGGCGCTGCTACACACAGGCCCCGAGCGACCTATCACGGTTGAAAAAAAATAAGTACCTTGTCCTCCCGGGTTTTTATCTTGGGTTTACAGGAGAGTGACTCACCTTCGTGACGCACATATGGCCCCGTCGCCGAGAAAGGCTTGGTATGCGTCTGGTCTCGGTTGACGAAATTCCGATCCGGCATATTTTTGCGGCGCGTCGAGTTTGCCCAGACGCTGCGTTTGGTTCGTTTTTTTGAAGCTTATTTGCTGGCACGCCTTTTTACTTGGGTACACAAGAATGATCTGAAAGAAGAAAGGGAAAGAAACAGGAATGGCCAGTTCGTAGAAGATCTTTGGCTGAGCGGAATAATATTGAAGGACGCGCCGAGGAGTGATACTGAGCTGCTATCCCAGATCATCTCGGCCGACAAGCGAGTCCATAAAACCAGTGAAAATGCTTCCAGTTAGCAGAACCATTTATCTTACTTGCCTTATCTTCCCGATCGGCGCGTGGTCCACGCTCACGCTGAGCTGCTGCAGTGGATGATGGCATCAGCAGAGACATTCCTTGTAGTAGATCGAGCTACACTGTCAGAAATGATTTAATACTGAAGAAACGCCACTATAGTACGAGCACCACGCACCGTGCGCAATGGCCGATCAAATCCTCTAAAAAGATGCACGCTTCCCAATAATCTTGCCGAAATATTCAAACTTGCGGATTCGTTTTGTTCACAGCAGCCAGCTGATTTGTGTGTGTGTGCTGGGCTTACGCGAATGAAATTGTTCATACTGGCGAAGGGTGAAGGGTAACACGCACTGAAATCAGTAAGCAGTGAGCAGTGAATAAAAGTGTTCATACGATTTTAGTGTGACGACTGACGGCGAAGGCCCGTCATCTCATTCGATTCGACTTATTCGTTATATTCGCAGAACCCGTCGTGATGCCCCGCGCGCCTGATGACCTGCTGGTACGCGATCAGCCTCAACGCTCGACGGCCAGTAGGTTATCGCCCGTCAATCGCGCAGCCTATCACACCGACCCTCGAGATGAAAACAACACGTACAAATCGATAGAGCACATCGCGGCCCATGCTCTCCTCTGGCATCGTTGAGATCGGCAGTAAATTTGACCGTGAAACGCGAGAATGTCCGCGTCGGTTGTTTACCGGGAAGCCGTATTGCGCTTTCGCCGTGTGCGCAATGTTAACGCATGTGTTTTGAAAATGTCAGATACAATTACAAAAAAACAGGTATGTGCCGAGTGTTTCTGTGCAGAGTTAGAAGATTGAGCTGCAAAACGAGTACGCACGAGAGTAGGCGAACCCACAACTCTGTCCTTACAAAGAAACATGGTTGCATCTCTTCACAGGAACAGTGTACACTGCAAATCAGATTCCTCGTCTTTCGTGAAACATAATTAGGTGCGCGATTTCTGGGTTCTGAGCGAGATGTTGCTGCGGTGGTAACGCGATTGTTTTGTATACCAGCTGCAGGGAATCCTCGCCCTAGCAGCTCGAGCAGCGTGCACTGTAGCTATTCACTGCATCGTACCAGTGATCGAAGTTGGAAAGTTAGGATTCTCACATATCCTATGAGTTACGCTCGCTCCGCGAGCTCAGCAACAGTAACAGCCGAGCTCAGAGAGTCGAAGTCATTCGCAGGACGGGAGACACTGAAGCCCCTTGAAACATGGGCAAGGACACGCTATTTTCTGTGGTTCCCAAAGGTCACCTCAGGCCAGATCCATCACCAGCAACCGAGGCCAAAATCGCGTGCGGCCGGAGCAACGCATTGTGCGCTGCTCGCATGCCGCCTCTGATTGGTCGGCCGCCTGCTCCCGCACCCTCCCCCTCCCGCCCGCCAGACCGCCGCCCCACCCCACTCTGCCGCGCCTTCCCCCCGCGCCCTCCTCTCCGCGACCCGAGCTCCGAAGCCCAGCCGAACGGAGGACGGAGGAGGCTCGATTCGACTCGGCTCGGCTCAAAGCATCGCATGCGAACGGCACGCAGCTGCCGTCGTTTCCAAAGCAGGAGTTTTCGGGTCCAGCCACCAGGAGCGCCTCACGACAGTCCCGCAGAGGACACGATTGATACTACACGCCTATGGCCATAGATTATCCTGGTTACCCTCCTACATACGGCTCGATCTTTTCCCAAATGGAGTTTTTCTGCTCCGGGCCAGCAAGTGCACTTTACGGCAGCAAACTTGGGGAACATGATGGCCTCGCTTTCCTACCACTCATTCGTTGCCGTGCCAGAATGCCAGTATGGACACAGTGACAGACGAACCACTGCCCTCAATGCAGCCAAACTCATTACACGACACGCAAGTGTCGTGTCCTTGAGGACATCCTTCCCGCACGAACAAGCGATGCTGCGCACCATCGCCACGTCCCGCAAACATCCTACAAAGCCGCTCAGTGCGGCTGCTGCTTGTGCAGCAGTCTCATTTGTGGATTTTTAGAGCTGGGTCCGGGGACAGCACAGCGACTCATCAAGAAAATTCAGCCAGCTTAAAATTATTTCACAGCATCCCACTTTTTGAACTTGAACTGAACAGAGCGAGGGTTGAGTAAACTTTTGAGGAAGGCTAAATAAGTGAGGGAGTCTACGATGGTGCGCCTTTGTCCACCCAGCGACACAACCCTGTAAAGCTGTCCTCGGATTTTTCTTTAGACGAGCTTGGAGGCGAGGAAGGCAGCCCGTCCCAAAGAGCCCCTCGGCTCGGCCGACCCCCAAGGACTTCCACCCGCCTCCCCACCACACCCCCGCCCCCCACTCCGCTGCCACCCACCGCCCGCACCACCCCACGGCAGCCCCCACGGCCCCCACCAGCCCCGCCGCCGCCCCCGCGCGCCCCCGCCAGGCCCTCGGGCCCCGCTCGAGTCGAGCCCGGGCGCGGCGCCCTCGCTTCTGCGCCGCAGAACACTGTCAGATATTCCAACGAGGTTTCCGCTTCCATTTTCTTTCCCTGCACGCGCGCGCGAGCGTGGCTACGGAGCTGCGCCACGCGCCGGGCGCTGCCGGGGACGAACCAGTCTTTCTCAACAGTGTACCCACCATGATGCTTTCTTTCCGCACGCCCCCGTCCCCCGTGGCGGTTCCCTTCCTCGCGTCGTGCCTTTGATAGGCCCGGTGAACGATTTCAACACAGGATTTACTGAATCCTTTGAGGTACACACGAAGAGCGGTTCTATATACCTACCGCGTTTAACGGCTTCTTCAAATATCCTGTCGTGTTGTCCTATCCGCTGCGGCATGTGGGCACGGCAACGCAAATGCAATGAATGTCACCCACTCGGCCGGCTACACTTTCTGAATTACGTCCCTTGCCCTTCTTGAAGGCTTTGCTGACTCACCACTACTTTCGCGGACTCCTCCCGTTGCGTTGCGCTCCGCTCGCGCACAGCTGCACAGCAGCGGCCCGCCCGAGCCGCGCCGACCCACCGTCAGCTGCCACGCCGTTACCTGCAACAGCGGCAGCATATTATGTCCTCCGCGCGCAATTATATTTCATTTAGGCGCCCTCTAGCAACTTCTTCAGCCGCGCGACACGCGGCGGCGCCGCGTCCGCCCGGCCGCCTCCCGCCGATTGTTTGCAGCGACAACAAACTCGCAACAAGGATAAATAAGGCATAATCCCTAATTGCCTCTCGTGAGCGGCGCACCATGGCCGACGGGAACAACACACGCGGCCGCGCACTCGCCTTATCGGGCGCATTTAATCACGAGGGCAAAGAAATGGAATGCACGACTGTAGCGCATGGTCATACCGCTACATACACAAATTGTTGCAGTTCCAGGAGACACCTTCTGACATTTTTTAAGGAATAAGGATGGCACAACAGCAATAGAGAGGGGGAGACAGAGAACTCTCTCTCTCTCTCGCTGTCACTAGTGCTATTGGAAGTATGAAAAAGAGAGTGAGAAATCATTAAGAAATTCATCAGACAGGGGAGAGGGGGCACGGAGGGGAGGGGCAGGAGAGAGCGAGGACAGATGGGGGGAGAGGGGGCACAGAGGGAGGAGGGGAAATAGAGAGAGGGCATTGGACAGAGGGAGAGAGACGAAGGGAGAGAGAGGGGAGGGGGCACGAAGAGAGGGGAAGAGGGGGAAAGAGAGGGAAATACAGGGACATAAAACCAGAGAGAGGGAAGAGGAGGGGGGCAGGGACGGGTTGAGTCCTGATATGGGTGAGTGTGTGTGTGTGCGTGTGTACACATGACAAACCCGATCTGTTAGAGCGCATTAGTGCTCACATCACTGGCCAGCAGTGCTCTCGCTCGCTCTCGCTCGCTCCCACTGCCTCGCGGCGCACCCGCCCGACCATCCGTCTCTGTCCTCCTCCCCGCCGCGCCAGGCCGCGCCGCGCTACTTTATCTCCCCTCCACACGCGGTGGCGTGGCGTGGCGCAGCAGCGCTCCCCACAGACAAAACCAAAAGCACTTCACTCACCCCGACCAGTGAGGGGGAGGAGGGCCGGACGAAAAGAGTGAGAAATGTGACGGAAAAAATTAGCGTAGTGAGAATAAAAAGTGGTGATCGGGTATTTACTCAGGACTTACCCAGAAATTGTAAAAAAATATTCCCAATTTTCCCTCTTTGTACACTTAAGTTATCAGCTTAATATCTATCCGGTATGGATAGCATTTCCAGATTCTTCGTGAAGAGAGCAATCAAACGAGCTACTACGTGATAGGGTCCAAATTGACCACTACGTACCATAACTTGGTTTAATATTGTACCTTCATTTTCAAAAGGCGCCCCATTTCGCTAGTGAACCCTAGTAATGATATCTGTCTGAAAGGAAATATTAGACCAACACCTGAGCATGATCATTGATGATTGTTATATATCAGTGTACATATGCCATGTATACAGTGGTATATATATCAGTGACCACCAATGCTTGCTGATATATCAGCATACAATGTACACTGTTAAGCGCTGTTGAGTTTTCAGGGCAGGTTCGAGAGGAACAATGTACTGTAGTACTTTCCCCCAACAGCAAATTAATTAAAAAGCAGACAAAAAGGCGTCCCATTGTTTCAGCCTAAGTCCCCCTTCCCCCCATCACCCCGTTTATTTCGCATTCCACTTCCATTTCCCGCATTGACATCCATCTGATCAGCAACCTTTTCCATTCTAATGGAGCACCGATCGGCGATTTTGCCATAAGCCGCGGTGCGCTTCTCTCCACCCACCCCCCCACCACACCCTTTTCCGCCTACAATTGTTCCATCATGCAGGCGCGATTGGTTATTCCAAATTGTTGACGCAGAGTGCTGCGGCGCCGTGTGATGCAAAAACATCACGAATCTGCAATGCAAATAAAGTGAAGAATCGTGTAGGGAGAGAGAGAGCGAGTGAGCGAACGCGCGCGCGCACACAACATTCTAAGCGCCTACGTTATATTACTTTTTTATTTCC